GTCCTATGACAAAGGAACACAGCTCAGAAAACCAGGACTGGCAGCCCCACAAATAGCTTTCAAAAGTTTTAGATAAGTTATGGTACGATTAATTACGTGACTCCATTTGTGCCAGCCTTTGAACTTGTTTGAAATCAAAACAGTCGCCAAAGCAAGACAATGGATTTCCTGGAAGATAAGCAACAAGCCATTGATTTCCAGAATGCAAAGGACTTGTTCACAATGGAGACAAGCACCAGTGTTTGCCTATGTTTGATCCTAATGAAAAACTGATATTAACAGCATGCATCTGAGATTGCAGAGTGCTGTACAGCCCTAGTCAGACTAACCATCCAGCAACACAGGAATATTATACGTAGAGGCACAATGTGCAACTTTGACTGTGCATGCGTCCAGGAGCATATGTCGGGCTGACGATCCACTTGAAGCAGGCCTGATAACTGCTCACAGCGCAGAGAGTAATTGTCTAGTTACAGAGATGTCATGTCACATCTTCAGTTGGGTACACTGACCCGGCTCCATTGAGGTCAATAGAACAGCAGTTTACATCTGCAGAGTATCCGGCGTATGACAGCTCCATTGACATTACGCCAGAAGAGAAACAGCAGGTGTTGATAACACTTCTGAAGAAATGGACACACTGCATGCCAGTATCTTTCAGCAAGCAATCGCAAAACAGAAATTAGGCAACGAAAAGGATGATGAAAGAAAGTCTTAAATGAAGAATATTGCATGGATGGCCAGACATTAGAAAGACTAGGGAGCTACACTTCCAGCTCGATAGCCCCCCTCTTGGCCAGGGAGGGCCCAGCCCCAAGACTGCCCCGGCCCTGGCTCTTCTTCCCCTGACCCCCAGCTGCTGGGGAGGGCCTGGCTCTTGCCTTCCCCTCCCCCCACTGCCAGGCAATGCCAAGGCCTTGCCAGCTTGGGCTCTCCTGCTGGCCACTGGCGGGGAAGGAGGGCGGGCCAAGGCTGCATTGGGCCCAGCTCTCCCCCTGGCCGTCAGGAGGGGCTGGGCTGGGGCCAAGGCTGCACCAGCCCCAGTCTCTTCTCCCTCCCCCCCACGCCACTGGAGAGGGCTGAGCTGAGGCACGGGAGCTATGGCTCTCCCCCTGGCTTCTGGGAAGGGGAGAGGAGGGCCGGGGCTGCATGCAGTCCCAGTGGGCCTGGGAAGTGCCAGGTTGGGAGCGGGTGGGGCTTGACTCCTGTGGATGCAGACGCACATGCTGATGTCACTATCGTCACACAGGAATGTTTTTTTATATATAGAGAGACATGTCATTGCAGGACACTGGAATCATACTAAGAAACTCTTGCTCTTGGAATAGTTATTTATTTTACATGAAGACAGATGCTATGGTGTGAGACGTACAAACACATCATAGTGAATCCATGTTATTCACATCCTCTGAACTCCCATTCATGCTTACATTCGTCACTTTACGCCTGAGTTTGAATAAAGAATCTAATTACCTTACCCATTACAAAGATAGCTTCCCCAATTATCACCTCTAATATCATTAGCTCACAGACATTTACCTTCCCCCCCATCCCCCTTCTGTTCTGAAATTTGATTTGTCCTTTTCATATGTGTTCTTTTTTTTAAAAATTATATCCTTTGGTATATATGGTTGTGACAATTTTCTTCCACTATTTGATCTGAGGAAGTGGGTCTGGCCCACGAAAGCTCATCACCTAATAAACCATCTTCTTAGTCTTTAAAGTGCTACATAGTCCTGTTTTTTGATTCAGCTACACCAGACTAACACGGCTACATTTCTATCACTATTCACGAAGTAGTGCTCCTCCTAAGAAGTTAGATGAAGCTAAAACTGTTGGCAAAGCCCTCTATTTCATTTAATTGTAATATTGGAACGTATTTTCTATTATGCAATTTCTCTCCACAATGGACGGGGGAGAGGTAGAAAGTGGGAAAGGAAATTTTAATTGATGGCACCCCCATCAAGTTTCTCCTGTTAATCTTCCACAATGGGGAGGCTGCAGAAATTTGACTTAAGGTACGTCAACTCCAGCTACACTACTCTCGTAGCTGGAGTTGAATATCTTAAGTTGACTTTTTCCTCTAGTGTAGACTTGGCTCCATATTTAGTCCCACAATTACTAGTATCCCATGCACACTAGGGATGTAAGAGTGTAATCGTTTAAACGGGTAACCGATAAGCCTGACCTTATTGGTTACCCAAACGGTTACACAGCAGCTTCTGGTCCAGCTCCTGGGTAGCCTGCTGCCCCCCCACGCTGCTGCCTCTGTCTCTCAGACAGCAGTGTGGGGCAGCAGGTGGGAGCTGGTCCACACTAGGGATGTAAGCGAGTAGTCGAGTCACTACTCAACTAGTCACTTTCCCCCCCACCTGCTACCTCTATCAGAGTCAGCAAGGAGGGGAGCAGGAGCCGGTGCTGGGGGGAGCTGGCTTAAAAGCCAGTTCCCCCCAGCACCATCTCCACGGGGAGGCAGAGGTGCCCTTGGGGACTGGGTGTAAGCTGGGAATCAGCTGGCCCGGCTCGTGCCCGGCCCCAGAAGCTATGCCTCTGCTTTTTAAATTGCGTAAGACCCTCGCAGCTCTTACTACGTTTAAAAGGCAGAACTGCAGTGAGGTTAACTCCTCGGGCTGGGAGCTAACCCTGCTGTGGCTCTGCAGTTTCTCCCCTAATCGACTAATCAAGTACTCAATGGAAGTTCCATCAACTACTCAATTAGCTAATTAAGCGCAATTTAACATTTTTGGTACACGTGGGGAATCAGCTTAAAAGATAGTTCCCGGTGCACACCAGCTCCCAGGGAGTGGGCTGCTGTCGTGCGCTGCTGACTCTGTATGAGAACCTGCAGGGCAGCGTGGCAGCTGGCTCCCTGGGAGCGGCTGGCTCCATTCCCGGAGAGCCAGCATGTAACCTCTAAACATTTTAGCAGCTACACAGTTAGAATAAACTTTTTTAACATCCCTAATGCACACTCACTGTGAATCATTTGTGTCCGAAATAGTGAACCATGAGGCTATAGAAAATATTATTTATGCTAAACAATTCTGTGAGCTCCCATTGAAGTCAAATCCATGAGATTGGTTCAGATTTATTGGGTTTGAAGCTCTGCGGCCTGTGTACATCAGCGATGGGCACCCTAGCAAGTGGACCGCATGAGTGCCTCCTTCCTTTCAGTAGGCCACAAGATTGTTGTAACCAAGACAATCTCCTGGGAGAAGGTAATTTTGCTAACTGCACTTGCATACCTAGAATTTGTGTGTGCGCCAACTGAACCATAGCAGCACTTTGATTAGATGCAGAGGACATGCACAACTCTCATGGACAATATTGTGTGCAATCAGCACTACCTCACTCACATGCCCTTGCTTTAGGTATGTGTCACTTTAGTAATGCTGGCAGGAAAAAACTATGTGGACGGAAACCAGAAGAATCTGACAACCCTGCCCATTGGGAATGGTCAACAAAATGTCTCACATGCCACATGTAGAATGCCAATGAACCGCATTCATCCTGCAAGCCACAGGTTGCCTGCCACTGGTGTATATCTGTTCTCCCATACCAGAGGTATTTCACAAATATATCAGTTTAAAAAGTTAATGCAGCAAGGCATTTAACATGTATAAGTAACTGCTCATTTGTTGTATGCAAATACGGTTTTCATCCGCTTGCATGTGGGCCTGCCGATTTTGCTGGCACAGCTCAAGAACAAGCTCCAGCCCACAAAAGCTTATGCCAAACAAATGTGTTAGTCTTTAAGTTGCCACAGGATTCCCAAAAGAATTAGGGGTCACCAAATTAAATTAATAGGTAGCAGGTTTAAAACAAACAAAAGGAAGCTTTCTTCATGCAACACATAGTCAACCTGTGGAACTCCTTGCCAGAGGATGTTGTGAAGACTGGGACTTTAACAGGGTTAAAAAAAAATTAGATAAATTCATCAATACTTATTAGCCAGAATGGGTAGAAAAGGTGTCCCTAGCCTCTGATTGTCAGAGGCTGGAAATGGATGACAGGAGAGGGATCACTTGATTATCTGTTTCTGTTCACTCCCTCTGGGGCATCTGGTGTTGGCCACTGTAGGCAGACAGGATACTGGGCTAGATGGACCTTTGGTCTGACCCAAACCCAATATGGTTGTTGTTATTCCTCATTGTTTTTGCTAAAACAGACTAACATGGCTACCTGACCTCTCTGAAACTTTAGAAAGTTATTTCAGATCTTCTACACTGGGGCATTTCTGAGCACAATGCAATTTAGGAATGGATGTGTGTGGGAGAGGGTGGATAGATGAGCCACACATGCTTGCCAATTATGCTTTTTACCATAATACAATTGTTAATCTTTTTGGTGCCACTGGACTACTTGAGTCTGTCTACACCGCACTGCTATTTCGGGATACTCGAAGTATCCCGAAATAGCTACCCCCGCATATTAACATGCTGCCTGTTATTCTGAAATATTTTTTGAAACAACGAGCGTGCTATTTCGGCATCCCAGTAACCCTCGTGGAACAAGGGTTAAGGAATGTCTCGAAATAGCACAGTATTTATCACGAAACGTAGCACTGTGTAGACGTGCCAAATTTCAAAATAGCCTATTTCAAAATTCAATCGAAATTAAGATGCCCAATTTGTGCTATGCACATTGCGGCTCATTTCGCTGTAGGGTGTTGTGCAGACTCGCCCCTTGTTGTGTTTGCCGCAACAGGCAGACAGGGCTACTGAACTGCAACAGCCTAAACTCACCCGAGACATGGGGGGCAGCACTGAAGACAGGCAGCCCCCTCGGTGGCCCCTTTCCCCCAAATATAGGCGCGTGTGGCTCTGGGGCGGGCCAGGCCCGCGCTTTCACAGAGCTGCCCTGCTCAGCCCCCGCTGCCCGGAGCCCCCAAGCCCGGCGGCTGTGGCTGGAGCTGGGGGAGCTCGAGTTTCAGGCTCGCCTCGAGTTACAAGTTCTCCGGGCGGCGGCGAGCGCAGAACGCCCCTCCCAGCAGCCCGGGCCGCTCCAATCGGAGGCTCCCAGGCCAGGAGGGAAGCGGGCGATGCCCCAGCGCGCTCCCGTTCCAAGGGGAAAGGAGGGGCAGGGAGGCTCCCATTGGCCGAGCCCGGGCGCCGGAGCGGCTCGGAGCGCAGCGGGCTGGGCCCGGCGACTGGCAGCAGCGCGGGGGGAGGCTGCTTTGTTGGGGCTGGGTCGGGCGGCGGCGGCGGCTGCTGGCCCTGGCAGGTAGGAGCCCGTCTCGGGTGTGTGGCTTGGTGAGGGGCTGGGCTCGATCCTGCTCCGCTTCCCAAGCGGCCTCAATCCGGAGTGACTCCCATGGAGACCCACCCCCCGCGGGGAGCGGGCCTGCTGCAAGCGAGCGCAGAAACTGGGCCAGCTGTGGGTGGGAGGAGGAGCTTCGGGCTCCCCTGCGTGTTGCTGGGCGGAAAAACAAAACCAGGGGCCGGTCCTACGAGCTGGGGGGGCTCTTGGGGCGCGCTACAAATAAGGCAGCTGGCCGGGAAGCGCTGCGGCTCCGTTGCCGAATGGCGAAACACGTGGGCGATCGCAAAATGCAGCAGGGAAAAAATTCAGTCTTGCTACGGTCTCATTCCATCTGCGGCTGCCTGTTGCTGCTGCGGCTGCGGCTGCCTGCGGACCTAGCCAGGGCTAGGGGTGCCCGTGTGCATTGGCCTCTCGTCGTGCCTGGTTAGGAGTAAAGCCGACTGGCTGCAATAAATGGGGCTTTGCGGAGGATTAAACTCAGTGACCAAGCAGTTAAATCCTTGCCGGGTTGAGCGCAGAATCTCGTTTCTAATAATTGTGCAACTGTTTAGAGTCTGCGTTGGGTGCTAGGAAATACCGAGGCCTAGTAACGGGTGTTGAAAGTCTGGGAGCCAATCGCTCCTCCCTGGAGCTAGGTCACAACAGCTGTGTCTAGACTGGCAAGCTTTTCCGCAAAAACAGCTGCTTTTGCGGTAAAACTTGCCAGCTGTCTACACTGGCCGCTTGAATTTCTGCAAGAACACTGACTTCCTACTGTAAGAAATCAGTGCTTCTTGCGGAAATACTATGCTGCTCCCGTTCGGGCAAAAGCCCTCTTGCGCAAATCATTTGCACAAGAGGTCCAGTGTAGACAGCACAGTACTGTTTTGCGCAAAAAAGCCCCTATGGCTAAAATGGCGATCGGGACTTTTTTGCGCAAAAGCGCGTCTAGATTGGCACGGACGCTTTTCCGCAAAAAGTGCTTTTGGGGAAAAGCGTCCATGCCAATCTAGACACTCTTTTCCGCAAATGCTTTTAACGGAAAACTTTTCCGTTAAAAGCATTTGCGGAAAATCATGCCAGTCTAGACGTAGCTGCAACGTATTTAGATAAGAGCTGGTTTTTCTTCTAGCCAGATGCAAGCCAAAGAGAAACCGTTTGTCTAGGGGGGGTTTAATACCAGGGGCAAATTTTGAGTGTTGGTGGGGGAACCCATCCTGAGAGCTAGTGAGGTCCTACAACTTCTCTTAGCCCTGCGCCTGCTCCCAAGGGATGGGAAAATGTCCACTGTTTCTGCTAACCTTTGACTAAAAATAATTCACAGTTGCTTGCTTCACTTCCGTTCTGTCTCTGGGACCAACATTAAGAACATTGTTGATTAGTCTCTGGAGCCCACTGGATTGTCCAGCGCAGAAGGTTTTAGTGGCTGAAATGCAGAGGTTGACACTAGAGTTCTACCACAGTGAATGCAGCAATAGGAAATTTTGAAGCACAAAAATTGTATGTAAACAAAGCTAATGGGAGGGTTACATCAAAATGACAAATTGATACAGATTTAAATAAGTTAAATCAGCAAGCAGGAAAACTTGATTTCGATCATTGACTTTAATCTTGTTTTGCATCTGGACTTTAGTTGTTGCCCTGAAGAAATATTCTCTCCAGCTGGTATAAGCATTAAAAGATGGCCAATTGTCAAAATGTCAAGACTCTATTTGGCTGTACCTTTTTGTTACCAAAATACAGCAGATATATGGCTAAATATACATTTAATCAGATTCTTAATTTTATCTGTTAAGAAATGCATTGCTTACCATTTTCTACTTCCTAGATTATTTTTACTTGTGATTTCTGTCAAACTGCATTGGATGGAAATTGGATTTCAACTGAAAATGGTTAGAACAGCATTTGAAAATTATCCATTACTAAAATGACGATTAAATGTATTTAATGCAAACAGTTTAGCAAGTTTTGATTTAAAACTGATTTATTAAACAGAGGAATTATTAAATGTGGTCCGTGAACTGATTTCTTGTGACCACAGACCAGGTTTTCAGTGGTATTTAGATATCTGAAAGTCTCATTGGGCACCAACCTGTACCCTTAGGTTCCTAGGTACCTTTGAAAATCTGCCCCCATAGCTTTCCAAGTGTTTCAGAAATTGAGCTAATCGGGAAAACACACTTTCCTTGTTTTTTTCAACTTCCTTTCATTTTCTTAGCTTTGAATGAAGTGATCTAAAGACTATTCTTTTCATTTGCCTCTTTGCTTACTAGCTTAACAGAAATTATGTACATTAATTCAGACCAAATATCTGAACAGCAGAAACTAGGAAGTACTTACATTCAGAGAAGTGCAAATACTAGCAGTCACTCCATTGTAAAGACTATAAATAATAGATATTTACTGAGTGCAATACTTGAGATGTTTGTCAACCTCAGACTTTAGAGATGTTTCTCCCCCCTCCCCCCCCCCCAGTATATAATTAAAAAGCAGCACCCTTTAACTTGTTACCATGTGAGGAGGCTCACTGATGCACTATACTTTTATTTATTGATTTAAAAAATATTACAATCAGTTTAGGGTCATGAGATTTTTAACGTTAATTATAAACAGGTTTATTTTTAAAAAGGAAAGCACGTTTAAAATTTTGTATTTAAATTAAATGCTTTTTAAACCCATGATTTTTTTTTCCTCATTCTGGTGGGACATGTATCAGTCCCATTGAGTTCTACTCAATACTATCCCACCCTCAAAAAAAGCTTATTGAAGTTAGTGGTGAATGTTTTAATTAAAGAATTCAAAGCCTGTGGTTCAAGAAATGCAAGAACTATCCAGCAGCAAAAATAGTTCTATATAGTTTCTATATCCTAACCTACAGCCTTCAGAGGTCTCAGTACTTGACTCGTTTTGGAACAAACAGTAGCTGGTTGTCTGTGCACTGGAATAAAAGTGTGTGTGTTTCAGATCAGTGTTAAGGCACAAGGAAGCAGCTGGCTTAAATTTCAAACCTATCAAGCTGTTTCTTGACTAGACTGCAGCTAAATGTATACCTTCCCTTTGATTCTCATACTGCTAACAAGCCTTTTCCATTTAGTTTTGACATGTGCAGAGGAATCATATTATGGCCAGGGAGATAACTCACATATAGAATAATGCACATTCCGTGTTAGGGCACCTTATCAAAAAGATGCTGACGAATGAGAAGGAATTCAGAAAAGCCCAATAAAAATTAAGGGGACTAGACAGATTTTAGCAGGTGCAACTAATGGAGTTGCATTGTTTACACCATGTCTGAATCTGACCTTCTGTATACATCTCTGTGTAAGTGATGATTAAGGGAGAGTCCTATAGATACTAGAAGTGTGAAAACAAGGAGGGAATGGAATTGTCTAGTAGATGCCAATTTCATATTTTATTATATTCTGCACTCTATAGTTAAATCTGCATTTTAATTGATAAGGGAGTTAAATACATTACCAGGAGGCTGTATAATATAACGATAGACCTGTAAGCTCTGGAACCAAGACTGGAATGTAATATGTGGTGCCCCTACATTTGCCTGGATTTTTTTTAAAGGTTTATGATCATAGATTGTTTCAGTTCGAACTGAAGAATCTAGCTAGAATTGGCCTAGAGGCCATGTCATTTTTCCTTGCTACGGAAGGTCAGGCATTCCAGCCAGACAAGTACATCACTTTGAAGATTGTGTTTAATCACATATAGCTCAGGTTTAAACTCTTGGTATTTAGTTTGCCAGTGTTCAGCTGTATAGATGTTCAGTATTGTAGTTAATTCCAAACCCAAAACACTATGGCTGTGTCTACACTGGCTAGTTAATTCCAAACTCAAAACACTATCTAAAGAGGTCAGGTAAGGTCAGTGAGAGTATGTCGACACTTCAAAGCCATTGGATACCACACCCAACAGCCAGCCACAGCAGCGGGGCTCAGGACATGAGTTAGATGACTGGTTGCCTGCTTAAATAGGCGTGGGTGGGCTGCTCTGGCCAAGCTGGGACCACTGTAGATGGGGACTGCTCCAGCTCGGCTCCCTGCTGGACTGTAACAGTCCCTTACCTGCAGCAGGTGGGGAGCTGCTCCAGCCCCCACCGGTTAATCATAACCAGTAAGCATCACCTGGTAAGGGTGATGCTTACTGGTTAATTGGTTAACTGTTCCCATCCCTACAATAAACTGTCTCCAACATTGATTGTGTGAGTTATTGTATATTCAATTACACTTCAAAGCCATTGGATATCACACCCATCAGCCAACCACAGCAGCGGGTCTCAGGACGAGTCAGGTGACTGGCTGCCTGCTTAAATAGGCGTGGGTGGGCTGCTCTGGCCAAGCTGGGACCACTGTAGATGGGACTACTCCAGCTCGGCTCCCCGCTGGACTGGAACAGCCCCTTACCTGTGGCAGGTGGGGAGCTGCTCCAGCCCCCACCGGTTAATCATAACCGGTAAGCATCACCTGGTAAGGGTGATGCTTACTGGTTAATTGGTTAACTGTTCCCATTCCTACAATAAACTGTCTCCAACATTGATTATGTGAGTTACTGTATATTCAATTAATGATTTCCCATGTTTGATTTTTTAAAAATATCCTTCAGTTATTGATTGAAAAACTGAGTTTGTTCTCCCACTGTGGTGATCTTCCTGGATCAGCTCAGACCTAGCTAAACTAATTAATTAGTAGCTGTTTAAAAGCTTCCGGGTACTTGTTAATTTAAATTAGTGGTGTCACCTGCAAGCCTTTGTTATGACTTCCTACCTGGGGGATTATGGAGAATTGCTTTCATGGATGCCTGAGGATCTATTTAGTAACATACTTGTGGATAGGATCAAAAATGGATTATCTTTTTATTGGATTAATACGTTTTGAGTACAAAAGATCTTCAGCTAAAATATCTCACCAGAGGTGTTTTCACATATTAAAAGACATGGGACTAGAGTAAAGGCTGATAGTATTTTACCATGCTGGTTGTTACTCCCCAACTGCACAAGCACTAATCCAGTATCTATACTATGATTCAAAGTGCATAAGTAAAGCCATTTCAATAACTAGGAACGTTTTTATCGGAGAGATCAGAAGTTAGGTTTAACACTCTAGAAACATTCTTTCTAGCAGGGATCTCATTTGTTTACAAAGCTTTTTGGGATTTGGCAAGTCAAGTTTGCTATTGCTTTCAGAAACTATCCAAGTCATGTGGTTGCTCGTGTGCCAGAACCCCTGAGAGGGTAAGTGTAAAAATAGCCGAGAGCTGGGAATTGTACTGTCAGGCTGTATTTTACTAGGAGTGTGAATGACTAGTCAACTATCCGATAAACAAATGCTTATTGGAGAGTCGACAGGGTAGTTGACTAGTTGCTCCCCCCCCCCCCCTTGCTGTCTCTATCAGACAGAGGCAGCTAGGGGGAAGCAGGAGCCGGTGGGTGCTGGGGGAAGCCGGGTTAAAAGCCAGTTTTCCCCCAGCAACATCTCTGGGGGGCGTGCAGCCCTTGACCAGCTGGGGTGTCCCCAGGCTGCATGCGGCGTTTCGAAGTGGCAGTGCCACGTGAAGCCTGCACTTCCGCTGACCCTGGGCTCCATGTGGTGTTGCTGCTTTGAAATCCCATGAGGAGCCTCATGCTGGGCTCCCTGCGGCGTTTCAAAGCAGCAGCACCGCAGGGAGCCTTGGGTCAGCAAGAGAGTCCCCAGCTGACCCCAGGCTCCCCCTATTGACTAATTGAATAGTTGATGCAGAATGCATCGACTATTCGATTAAAGCGATGCAGAATTCATCGACTATTCGATTAGTCAATTACTCACAATTTAACATCCCTAATTTTGTACAGTCTTTCTGGTTGAATTTAACGGGTGGGCATGGGATTTTGTGGTTCCAGGATGGAAGTAATCAGTGCCACCCCTGTCACTGAGCTTTGTTTCTACGCCAGCAAAGCTGTCATGACTAACACATGGTGGGGGGGAAGGGGTGCAGAGCCATCTCACAACTCAGGACCCACCTCTGCCACCTGTGAATTGTCCTTTCAGGGAAGGTTGTGCGCCTCTTTGATCTGATGGCACGTATGATTCTATACATAAGGCTGCATGTGAGATTCTGCAGTTTCGAGGTTGTGCGCCTCTTTGATCTGATAGCATGTATGATTCTCTACATAAGGCTGCATGTGAGATTCTGCAGTTTCCATGTTTCAAGGATGCATTGGTCAGAGTGCGTACCGTTTCTTTGTAGCTGTGAGATTCTACATACGTGTTAAATATTTTGGTCCAGATCACATTCCCCAGATCCTGTGTATATCGCTGTTGCAGACTGCATGGAAGGGACATCCTCTACAGACACCTGCACTGGACCCTCTGTGGGGTCAGCCATCAGCTAGTGGGGGGCCGGGTTAAGTACATGTCACTTGCTCCGCCAACCCTGCGGGGAACAGTAGCAATGAATGTGAGCACAAGTGTGCAGAGGAATCTAGGCAGCCTCCAGCATTTTAAGCACCATGGCCTCTCATGTTTCAGATGAGGTTTACAAGATATCTGCAGCTCTCCTGTGACACTAGAGGTCCAGCCCCGTTGCTACCCCTGAGATAGCATTTAACAAGATGTTTAACAAGCGTGTCTTAGAGCAAACCCGGCGGATAGTGGCTGAGGAACACACTGGGGGAAGAGGTGATCTTGTTAAAGATTCAGGGTCCCCATCTGTCACTTAATAGCTCACATCCCAGGTCCCCAGTGAGTTTCTCCAAGGAAGAGCAGATTTGGCACTCCTAAACAAACAAACAAAAAGGGAAAAAAGCTTCCACCGCTGCTTTCTACATCAAAGCAGCCAAAAAGACACCACACTCATGCTCTCTGCAAATTGCATGTCATTGAAATAGGACAGCCGTGGTGGCAGCAGCAGTCTCAAGGGAAAGGAGAATGCAGGAAAATATGTAGGATGAGAGGGACATGCAGAGTGGGACTTTGCCCAAAACCTGGGCCAGCACAGAAAGTTCTAATGAAAGAACCTGGGAAGTTACAAACCCTTGCTGTTATGGATTTGTAAAGTGACACTTCTGCTGTCGTTAATTCCCTATTGATCCTATTCTCTGACTGAGATGGCATAAGGCCATGACAAATCATTTAAATTATTCTCCTACTGAGGCAACTAGCTCACTCTTTTGCTCTCTTTAATTAATGAATAGGAAAGCTCTAAAACAGTCATCTGGTTATTTTGGATGTTTTTGAAACATGTTTGAGATGGCAGATTCTGAGCCCTGGCACGGCCTGTCCTTGCTTGCTGCTAAATTAGATGCAGAATCCAAATGGAAGAGAAACCAAGGGACTCGCAGGATCTTATAGCAAAAATGCCAAACAATGGTGAATTTGGACAATCCACTCCCGCAGCTGTAGCACCAATGCCTTTCTCCCCCCAAGTCCATTACATCTTAGAGTTATGAACAACCTCCATGTCCAAGGGATCTGTAATTCTGAGATATGACTGTAATGACTATGCATTTGGGCCCAGTAACGTCACTCCTGTGCATAAGTGCTCTCAGGATCATAGCCCTTAATTAGCAGCCATAGAGCTGTTACAGCAGGGTACAAAACCTGGCTTTGTTCCTCACGTACCATCAGACTCTCTCCAAAGAACAAAACTCTGATTTTAGCATAACAACTGGTCAAGTCAGAAAAGTGCTGGTATAGAATTAAAGTAAACTTGCTGTTAGCGTGTGTGATTAAAGTGATGCACGAAGATGATTGATTGATTGATTGTATGATCTCAGTCCAGGACAAGCTAAAGCAGAGATGTTAGAGTTTAACCAATTAATCAGTTAACCCATAAGCTGATGTGCTTAGGAGCTAGAAGGCTCCATCCTAGCACATACCAGGTCCTAGATGCCAGCTCCACCGCCCTGCTTCTCTGGAGCTGGCTGCGGAGCTCACAGTGAAATCTCCTCCCTGGGAGCAGAGCCGCCAGCCCCGCGCTCCTGGAGAGGTTTCGCTGTAGGCTCTGCAGTAAAAGGCTTATACGATTTTTTTTTTTTTTTTTTAGCAGTTACGCAGTTACTTTTTTAAACAACTTTTTACATCCCTTGGCTAACATATTTCCTTACAGACACAGGGGAAAGCAAATCCAAGCTTTTTTAATTGTGTGGAAATGGGAAAAGAAGATGACTTTGTTGTTTCTTTCAGAGAGCTCAAGACTACGAGCGCACAGCCTGTGAAGGGAAGGAGTGCTGCGTAAATGGCCTTGGATGTGGAAAAATCCAGTTCTGAAGCCTCACTGAATGTGAAAGCCAAGTCCTATGGTAGGTGGAACTACACAGAACTAGAGCGCGACTGCCCTGAGTTAGTTAGTGTGCACCAGCTTTTAGAAGCCGAGGAAGTGACGTCATCCCCCAAAGGAACTGAGGATGTGCCAATGGATGGAACAGGCCACAGAGTAACTGGTGTCTGCCAGAGAAACTCCAGCCATTGTAAAGTCTCTCTAACGCCTTCTTCCAGGTTTTCCAGAGCAAAAGCAAAAGCAACGTATGTGGAGAGACAGCCATTAACTGATTGCTACCACGAGTGGCGCGATTTACCCCATCGCTTTAGCGGAACTCTTTTCCACCCTAGAGGCCAGCAGGTGAGCGGATTTTACTTAATGTACTAACGAAAAATAAAGTATAGTATCAGCAAAAGACTCCTCCCACCCTACCCCTCCCTATGAGGTTGGAGATCGGTTACACTAGGCATTATGCACAAAGAATAAGGGGGAGTCTAGCCCAGACAGTTTACATTTTGAGTAGACAAAGGGAAACAGACACAGATAGGAAATGACTTGTCCAAAGTCAGGCAGTAGCTGGAGATAGAGGGGAGGTCTCCTGACTCCCAGCCCAGTGTGACAGTATTAGTGTATGTGATTATAACAGGCTGAAGTTCATCACAAATGCATTTGTACGCCAACGGGGGGAACCACTGGCTAAGACGGTCAAAAACGGGTGCTTAAAAATAGGCTCCTACATTCATGTTTAAGCTTCTAAAGAAATGGCCTGGTTTTTCATATATGCCAAGCCCCTGTATCGCTTATTTAGGAACCTGACTTTGGACCTCTGAGTTTGAAAAGAAACCCATCGATAAGAACTTCAGTGCAGACACGTGCCCTCCACCCCTTAGCCCGGCTGTTGGAAAGATTTTACCAAAGCGTTTCAGATTAATTGACTTTTTGGTAAAGTCTTCTGTGCCAGGTAAGCGACTTGGAGTATTGCTCTGGCATCTTCCTCCAGACCATTGCTAGTAGTCTCTTGGGCTTGGCCTGGCCAGTGATGTGCATCTAAATGCTACGTTAGATCAGCGTTGGAATGGACTCCCCATTGACTTGTCCTCTCTTAGCTGGACAGGAGGTAGTAGGCTCTTCTCTAGCTCGCCCTGTAGGTAGCACCTCCAGCCCTGCGACGGTTCAACTCTTCTCATGAATCAGCCCTGCAGCCAGATCACAGTTAGTCCCATCTCTTCCTGAGTAAGCAGAGTCCAGTAAATTAAGCTCAGATAAAGGTAACTCACTGCCTCTGTGCAGGCTTACACCTCCCCAGATTCCTCCGCCCTTCCCAGGATCCGTCAGCTTGGCCTCTCGCTCTTCAGCGGATTAATGCCTCCCCAGGGCTTTAGGCCTGGATCCAAACTCAGTTGTCCTCCTACCTCCGTTGGTCAGGATTGGTCTGTGCTAGCTTTTTAGGCTGGTCAGGGAACTCAGGTCCTCTCTCTCTTTGGCTTCCAGTTCAGGGAGCCTGGGGCAAGCAACTAAGATCTGCTCCCTCAGGCTTCTTCTTTACCTGGACTCTTTCCTTCCTTCAGGTCCTCTCCCATAGCCCCTTCCTGAACGTACTGTACATTTGTCTCTTTCCAGTCTTTTCCTCCCCCTCTCTAGCAGCCAGAGGGATTGCAGAGTCCTTCCCTCTCTCCCTGCAGTGGCCCGCTTAGCCAAGGCTTCCTCCCTTTATGCTCTCTCCGCCACCTCCCCTAGCTGGGCTTCATCATCACTTGCACCTGCTCCAGGTGCAACCCCATGCACTGGTTGCTTGAGGTCCCCAGCTAACTCTTTCAATTCTGTGGGGCACGTACTCTTATCACAAGCAGACACAGCCTAGTGCACTGCATGTTGGGAGCACATCAGACCAGTGCTTGGTGAGCTGCCCTGGCTGGCTGGCTGGCTGGAGTTTAAAGTGTTGGCTTCGACCTGTGAAAGCCACAAAGAGTGTGAGACTTGGGTACCTGGTCTTCTCCCTCTGATACGCTGCCGCCATTCAGATAGGCATAGATACTTGAGCTCCCTTCACAGAAACGAGAGGGAGCTGCTGGCAGGGCCCTCAATTGTTCAAATGAAAACCCAGATGTGTTAAGGTCGGGCTTTGCAGCATGCCCGCATCCTGGCTCCGCCTTGAGAAGGGGGGTGAGGGTTGACTGCGCTTCTGTGCGGGCCTTTGCTTTGTTGAGGTTAGTTTGCAGGATGAAGGCTCAGAGCACCGGGTGGGCATGGGTTGTTGCATTTAAAGGCGCTAAATAAATATAGAGTGACGACACTTCACATCCCTTTCCCCCAGAACACATGCTTGATAGTGATGTCCCATGCTGACCCATGTGTCACGCGGCCTCCCAAGTCCCCGGTCTGCGTCCCTGCAAATACTGCCACATTCCCAGCCCAATTCAGACTCGGTGCAATTCCACTGAAGGCGATAAGTGAGCACCTGCTTACACCAGGCCTGGACTGGGCTCTGTACCGCCACATCCCTGCCCTGTTGACAATACAGTGGGGCTTTTATCTGCACATCTGCTGCTTGTATTGTTCAGAGTGTCAGAAATAATGTTCTCATTGCTGTTCACGGGGGGTTCTCCCTGTTGGTGAAACACCTTTATGGCATTGTCAAAGCCTTAACTACACAGGCCTTTAATGTGTGAACTCCCATGGTTTCATTTTGTGTGTGTTTTACCCTTCCCCTCCAGTGTTTCAAGCCGATGAAAATGGTGGAATGTCCGGGCAGTAAGGAGCAGCTTCCGAATGCCCCTGCGCTCCAGCCAGCACTGCAGAGCCCAGCGATGGACGCTAACGTTTACAGCTCCAGTTGCGAGTCCCTTCCTGACCTAAATGCGGACCGGGGGAGCCAAGCGTCGCTTTCCCTTTCTTCAGCCACGTTGAAGTCTTTGCCTGCCGGAACACTCCCCAGTTTTGGTACAGCAATCCCAGAGTTTTCCAGATCGAGCCTTTCCACCCCGCTTTCAGGAGAGGACGACTTTGAACAGCAAGAGAGGAGATCAAGCTTTCCAGCTCGGAGGGATTTTCCTTCTTGTGGAGTCGTCCCCTCTCGGTATCGGCACAGTCGCTCTGCTCCAGTTGATCCCATGCTCAGCACACGCAGGCGGTTAAACCCTCTCTTTGATGTCTGTGCAATTGTGGAACAAGAAAGAAAGAAGTCGTCATTTCAGGCTGATTATTGGGCATGCGCAATACCTGACTCTCTACCCCCGTCTCCAGACCGGCAGTCTCCACACTGGAACCCTAACAAAGAGTACGAGGACTTGCTTGATTACACTTACCCACTGAAGCCAAAGTACAAACTTGCAAAGAATCCCCAGGCTGTGATGCCTGAACCCTTCTTCCATGACTCTGGTGTCGATCTGGACAGCTTTTCTGTTTCGCCCGAGAGCACTTTGAAAAGTATCAATGCGCCGGGTGAGGATCAACATGCTTCCGGGGGCAACGTATGCCCGAGGGAGGAGTGCGGGATCTCAGCGGAGAGATTTTCAACTCCTTTGTTCAAGACGCCGGGGTACTTAGGAGCAGTTCCTCACCATGGACCTTCACCGATCGCCAAAGTGTCCTTTGCTGAATGTGATGCCGCTGCCCCCGAAGCGGATCCCGTGAAAGGGTTTGCCAAGAGTTTGCCTGCTTCTGAGTGTGCTGGGTCGAGTTCACATGACCCGGCTCACATCGATGGGAGGGGCTGGGGGAGTCGAGGAGATGAACACTTTCCAAAGGGTCAGGTGAGGACAAAGAGCGCTGGTCATTTTGTACCCACTACGCACATATTGCCACTGAAAAAAGCCTGGGAGAAGGATGAAGAATTTCTTTCCCTGCCTCCCAGAATCAAGGAGCTAGAAGGTTTGGCTCAATACTTGTCTGATCTTTCACTGACTAAAGGGAGACTGGGGAATGAGCATTTGCTACAAGACCTTCCGTGCTACAGTGGCAGCAAAGGGCAGCTTTCCTCTAAATGTGTTGAAGATCAAGGCAGCACAGAAAGCAAATACAGAGTTCAGGGCAGAGAGGCTTTTGTTCTGTGTCCCCCACACAACTCTCAAAAACCTTCTACAGAAAATGTTGAGTTGAGTAGCCAGGACCACAGGGAACCTGTAAGCAGACTGGCAACACCCTCCGTCAGGGACATGCTAGATGGGAGATCCTTCTCTGCACTGGAGAGGGAAGGGTGGTGTTTGACAGAAGAGAAGGAGTCCCTTGCACAGTGTGTTAAGGTAGGTTGGAACCAGAAGTTAATGGAAACTGTCTTTGTGGTTTTGTTTTCTTCCTAGTTCCTTTTACGTGATGTTCACATTTACCTGCAGTTGCTATGACGTTATATGTCAGGCTTCACTGGAGCAGACTGGTTGTGATTGCAGGAGGATTTCTCTGCCAGCCTGAGGTTTCAGGACTCCACACGGCTCTTGCTAGAACCCCGGTTAAAGTGCAGATCCCAGAATGAAACAGGTAGTCCTCGGGCAGGGCTGGGCAAGGTGTGGCCTGGGGGCCGGACCCGGCCCACCTAACTTTGATCCAGCCCACGGATTGCATCTGGCCGCTTTCTATTTATATCCTGCTGCCCGGGTACTGAATTTCCAGGCAATGGGTCAGGCAGCTTGATCCTATTTAAATGACTCGTGGCTCCCAGTCGCGGCGCTACCACAGTAGGGGCTGGAGCAGCGAGCCTTTTAAATAGTTGCAGCAACCCCGGGCAGCTGCCAGACAATGTGGTAGCAGCGGAGCCGAGAGCCCTTTGCCCTGTTTTTAATTCAAAGCCTCCAGCCCCAGACAAGTCTGGGAGGAGGCTAGTCCCCTGCCCCCCTCTTCTGCCCGATGCCCTGCCCCTTCCAGGGGAAGAAGAGCCAGCTCGTGACCACGTAACAAAATTCATTGTGGCCCCCCGCAAAAATTATTGCCCTTCCCTTCGTTCTAGGCCCGTCCCCAATTTTACTATGGCTCCAAATGCAACAATTGCTGAATTCCCTTGACGACTAAACAGGAGTCTTTTCCTGCAGCTTCATGAAGCACTGTGATTTCGTGTCTGCTTAGTTTCACATTGCTTTACAGGGGTGAATGCCCTTAGAAGCTCAAAAACTGTGTCTGCACTGAACTTTTGCCTCCAAATTTTTGCATTAGTGTAACTCCATTAATGGGAGCACTGGTATGAACAAGGCACTGGCATTTTTAACACCATGTTTCCTAGGCCTGCTCTGAGTAGAGTTAAGTAACATAGATAGCAAAAATGTGGTGGTTCTGGTGACTTGTCTACACAAGCGACCTTACCTTTGCTGCCTCTGAAGTGAAGCTACCCTGGTGGGAAATTTTAGGGGACAAAGTCTACGGTTGACACAACCAGAGTGAAATGGGGGGCAGAAAAGCTGACATATTTCAAACTACAATGAGCTTGACGCTCAACCCCAGCCTCCTGGAAAGTTAGTGACCCTATCAGTGAGTTGACTCTTGTTTATGAACATAATGAAATCAGGTATATTTGGCCAGGAAAATTGTCTCTTTTTCTTAATATGTGTAAAGCGCAGGACTGATCCAAGTGTTATCCTGCTTTAAAATTTGGTGCTGGGAGGGGGAAAGGATTTTGGTGATTAATTTTTCCTGGTGTGTGTGTGTGTGTGTGTGTGTGTGTGTGTGTGTGTGTGTGTTAAACTACGAGGCTATGTCTAGATTGTATCCCTTTTTCGTAAAAGGGATGCAAATTAGATGTATTGCAATTGCTAATGAAGCGGGGATTTAAATCTCCCCCGCTTCATTAGCATAAAAATGGCTGCCGCTTTTTTTCGGCACGGAGCTTTGCTGGAAAAAAGCGCCAGTCTAGACGCGGATCTTTCGGAAAATAAAGCCTTTTCCGAAAGATCCCTTAAAATAAGGGATAAGGGATCTTTTGGAAAAGGCTTTATTTTCCAAAAGATCCACGTCTTGACTGGCGCTTTTTTCCGGCAAAGCTCCATGCCGAAAAAAAGCGGCCGCCATTTTTATGCTAATGAAGCGGGGGAGATTTAAATCCCCGCTTCATTAGCAATTGCGATATGTCTAATTTGCATCCCTTTTACGAAAAAGGGATACAATCTAGACGTAGCCCAGGTTAGACTACTTTCCATTGGGTCTAGACTAGGATGCAAAATCCCATTTCATCTGTGGATGTTAGATAATGTTTATTTTAGTAATCGGGTAGCCGTAAAAATCGTATCAGTTACACGGTTACTAAAATAGTCCCCGGATGCGGGGCTGGTAGCCAGTGCTCTCCCAACCCCACACTCCAGGAGCCCTCTTCCATCCTGATAGAGAGGCAGCAGTACAGGGAGGGAGGGGAAGGCAAGTGACTCCGCATGAATTGATCCATGTGGAGAGCTGTCTTGGAAGCTGGTTCCCCCTGAGCACTGGCTCCCAACTGCCCACCCCTGCTACCTCAGGGTATGTCTACACTACAGCACTAATTCGAACAAACTTAATTTGAATTAGTTAATTCAAACTAAGCTAATTCGAACTAGTGCATCTAGACCTAAAAACTAGTTCGAATTGCTAATTCGAACTAGCATGTCCACACAGAGTGGACCCTGAACCGAGGTTAAGGATGGCCGGAAGCAGTGCCGGCAGGGCATCAGGTTAGGACTTAGAGCGTGGAGCTGCTGCCTCAGGCTAGCCGAGGGCTGTGCTTAAAGGGACCCGACCCCCACCCCGGACAGACAGTTCTCAGGGGTTCCCTGCTTGCAAAGCAGTCCTGGCTTGGAGTGCCCTGAGTGTCCGCACTCGGCACATCACAGCACTCGGCCATCAGCCCAGCTGCACTTACCGCAGGCTGCCATCCGGGGTGGGTCAATCGGGGGGCTGCAGGAGAGCTTCCACCCCGAGGAGCCCGCAGAGCCACCCCATTCCTCCCCATCAGGGGCTCGTACCCCATTCCTCCCTCACCTCCTTCCACTTATCCCTCCCTTCCTGATGTACAAAATAAAGGACACGTGTGTTCAAAAATAGAAACTCTCTTTA